GAGAAAATCGAAATTTTAGTGTTTCGTAGTTCCGCCGCTCGCCGCTAGATGGCGCCACCTGTACCGTTTTGGACCGAATTCGACAAAAATTGATTTTCTGGCTTTATTAGGCATCAAAACGCATTAAACCCTAATAGAAATTTGTTTCTAAATGCCTCAGGAACCATACTACGTCGTCAAAGTGCCGAAATATTCATTTTTTTATTTTCCTTATATGCGTGTTCGGACCCTCATTTTTTAGGTTTAGTTCACCCGTTTTGCCGCTAGATGGAATCCAATTTTTTAGTCCATAAACTGCACTATTTGTAGCGTGAGCAAATTCAATTTTTAAAATAAAAACAATTTGTTATTAGGATCGTTAATATTCCCTGATGTTAAGTCTCGAAACTATTCTGCATTCCATGAGCAAGTTAAGTTCACGTGTCCTCGCTCATCGTGCTATTCGAGATTGTAGACGTTGAGTGAAACGCGGGTGGATTAAGCAAGAGTATATCGAGACTTCTAAATTCCCTCCTCGGAATCGTAAAGCGATTCAGCGAGTAGCAAGCAAGAGCACCGCCTTGAACAGTCTAATTTCGTTTTAATATCACGGAGTCGGTAGAACGATCGTTTGCCGTAATGGTAATCGTTACCACGACAAAGCAATCGAGCGAAATTGTTTTTTCGGTAAGGTGACGAGGTAACCGGAGGAAGGGTTGAAAGGTGTGCAAGTAATTTGAGGCTTTATTAGGGGAAAGCTCGGTAATTTTACGAGTTTTTCAGTGAGGCGAATTAAGATTTGCATAACGTCGGCTCGGTTCTCGGACTTAAGCGTCGAGAAATGCAAATGTAACCTCGTGCGTTAGAACTTTCCCTCCTCTCTATTCTCGTCTTCTTTTCTCGGATAGGATCGCGCAAAGAGCGGCGGATAAGGGAGGAAAATAGCAGTTTCTCTAGCACGATGCCTCGCGTACATAAGATCCGGAGCGTTTTCGACCGAAATTCCGACACGACGCCGCGTCCTCGTTCAACGAAACAACCTTCCGCCTGCTTAAACTCTTTACCCTCTTACAATTCTCGCGGACGAGCTTTCACGTTTTTCTCGCTTCTTGTTGACTCTCGGCTCATTCGCGAGAAGGAAAACTGCCACGGAATTCGATCCTGTCCACGAGTCGCTGGAATCCTCGTCTCGTTGTTTGTAGACCACTTTGCGGGAAATCGCTTTTACCGCGTTTCGCTTTTACGACAACATTACGATAACTCGAATCGAATCGAACATAGAGCGGTAACTTCGTGTCAGGTCGTTTAACGCGCGAGGATCTCCGAGAAATTTAATTTGCTCGTTGCCGACTCGATAATAAGGCAGACGCGAGCGGAACGAATGGAAAATAAAAATTAACGAGTTTTTCAGCGTCGCCCGTGTAAAGCGGCGAGGAAAGCACGCGTTCGATATCGGATGCGCATACAATGACATTGATACGTTTCGTGACCGTTTGCGTAAACTGGCCGAGTTGAAACGTATTCGCACGTCGCGGCTCAGCTGCACCTGATTACGTTAATAACGAACACAATTGATGCTCACCTACGTGACTCGCAGAACGGCCGCGTTTAATCTGTTTACCGAAGTCCAACGTTGCTACCAGTCACATAGTCGTGCGTTTGTTCGGGAAAATTTGTCGTCGCTGCCGGCTCGAAGGTGAATCATGCGCGTATTAAGCCCGGAGATAGCATTATCGCCTCTATAACTATATCTAGTTCCGTTTAATCGAAAGACGAATCGAATATTTTCGAGGGAGCGAAAGAAAAATTTGACTGGATGTTGAAAGGTGGCAGGAGGAAGAGCGGAAACGTGGATATTAAATTGATAATGGAAATTCATATTATCGCTCGACGCGTTATACACGAGGGAATATACCGTGGCAATCAACGCGTTAAAAGTTGTACGGTATCCGCGTATAGTCGGAGGTAAGCAAGAGATTGCTGTCCCATAAACATAAATACGTTTCTAGACGGAACGCAATGAGGCAATATTTCTGCCAGGCACGTAGCAGGAACTCGGTATCGAGGGGAGGGTAAGAGAAAAAGAGTGAAATAAATAAAATAAAGGGGGCAAAAGGCAGGTGGGCGAGGCAGGTATTTACGGTATATATTCGTATCGCCTACGGGCTGGTCAAACGTCAATTCAGCCCCGGTGTATTCCCGGCACGCGATGGAATCACTGGGAAAAACCTGTATTTTCTGCGAGAAATCTCGTGTCCGGATAAAGTTGGTTATCGCGCGACTCGGCGAATACAACGAGCCGGATCGAATAGGATCGAGTTTCCTTCCGTTTCGTTTCCCTTCGACCTCCACTTTCGAAACTCCACAGATCTCTTGCTTCCGACCGTACATACAGATTCGAGCACGTATTCATCCCCTATAGGGAATGTCTATTTTTTCGAAATTTCGCCTCGTTGTACCCGGGGATTCGCAGTCGTCTACCGATAACCGTTTATCCGTACGTCTGTTTTCGTTTTTCGGCCAGTTCGCCGGAACGGAGGAGGAATTCGAATAACCGAAATCACGGGAACCCGCGTCGCCCGAATTTGTATCTTGAGCGACGTTCCACCTCGAGTAAGCGAGAATGCCCGGATCGGTGCGGTACGCGAACGCGCGCACACATCGCCGGCGATAAATTCAAATTTTATTGAATTATACAGCGCATCGGGGAAGATCGTTTAAAGTACAAGCAAATGCTTTCACGATCGAATTCGTCGCGTGGTTTCTGGCAGAACTCGTCGTTTCTGTTTGCGCATAATAAATATTTATAAGGGAGGGAGCTCGGCCAACGACGAGAAGCAGTTTCATATTATTATTCGATCGATTCCTGTTCCCGAACGCTGCAAATTATCGTACTCGAAATTATCAGTAATTTATATTTATTATAAACGCGTATTTCAATTATTTCGCGTTCCACCGAATTCGATCAAAATTTCATATTTCGGCGAGACTTCGTTCTGGTCGATGAACTCGTCGGAGTTGCATCGTCGTATACCGAAACGCGATATTGGTTTAATTTCGAACGATAACCACGACCGATAGCGGGGCAATAATTGGCCACGATCACAGCGTTGATCAATGGAATAGCGGAGCCATCTGAAATAATTAGGTCCACCAGTTTTGCGGTAAGATCGAATATGAGCCCGCCACGTTAACGTCTATACCGGGGACCATGTAATTGCAATTTCACCAGCCGTGCAAATGTTGGTCCATACGTTGAACCGGTTAAGGCAACGCTATAATAGGTCTTAAACGCGGCAACGAATCGCGTAGGCCATCGCCGATTATCGAATGCCAATTTGTGCGTCGTACTCTGTTTCTCGGAATGCTCGGAAAAAGGTTATATTCGTAATTCGTATCAGCGATTTATCGAAGCGGATAAAACGTACAGCGAGGATTAAAAAATATCTCTGGCCAGCGTCAGGGAAGACAATGGCTACGAAAACGTTTAATACCGACGCGTCCGTATGCCTTCGATGTGATTTATCGTTCTCCAAGATGCGCAAGAATATAATGCCGGTGATTTATCGTTCCATTATTCGGCCTCCTGGGTGCCCTTGCGCTTACGACAAACTGCCGAACACTTGGCTGTCTACCAGCCAATGAAATCCTTAAAGAGGGTTGTTTCCCTAAAACCGTAGACGTCTCGGAATACGTTGTCCCTGCTGAACCGTCGAGTATAAAGTGGAAGCTTGCGTTACCTTACCTTCTTCCTTCGAAGATTGCGTTTGCTCCAATTTTTCTCTCTCTCTTTACATTCCCGAGTAAGTTCGCGAGTCGTACTTTGTCCCTGCGCGTAATTGCGTTCCCATAACGAGGCGAGGGAAATCTTACTTTTTCCTTTTGCGCCTTCTTCTCGATCTGATATTCTGCTTCGGTACAATTATGGGTGGAGTTGGGCCGAGTTCGGGCAGAGGAATGTAATTTCGTGGTGCCTTAAATTCAATTTCGAGCGTGTTCATTAGGTCGTCGTTGGGCAAAGTGTGCCTTATGCTCCTCAAAAACAGCATCTCTTCTGCGGGACGCTTCGGTGGCGGCTGCTGATCCGGTACCACGTGGACTTTCGTGCAACCCGGTTTACATTTTTCCCCTGCACCGCAAACGCGATATTTTAACTACATCGCGCTCCTCTTATTTCAACCCTTTTGTTACCGTAGTCGCTTCGATTCGAGCAAAGAAATTTAGTTTTATACGCGGGTATTTCATCAAATATTAACGTAGCAAAAGGGTTATTTTTTTGCATCGCTGGATAAATCGGACTCGAGATAGTACATCGTTTCGACAGCTCGTACGTTTCGTTGCCATCTCGCAACAACTGTTTATACTTATTTACGCTCTTAGGAATATTTCATGCTTTAGGTTTAATTCTGTTCGGACAGGATCTCTTTTATTTTTTTCTCTGTTGTATGCTTCAGCAGTTTCACAGAGAAAATTAATTACCGACTGAAGCGCAAACAACGAGTTCTTTGTCCGAACAAACAGGATTTCGCGAGTTTCCGTATAAACTATAAATCTCTGATTGTTTATTTTTTGCGTTATTGTTTCGTACGCTGTACGTGTAAAATCTCCGGTGGAAAATGGAAAAGCTGTGTAGGTATTGTAAAAAATTATTTGTAAAAAAGCTACCGTTAATAATTAATTTAGCGTAGATTTACGTCGCTATTCTTGTTCGATTTCGCGACGTTATCGGATTATCTAACCCTTTGTACAAGATTAGAGACGAAAAGCGCATTGTACCTTGTTCGTCGGCGCAATTGAAGTCGAAACTCCGCTTTTCTTGTTCCTGAGAGTCGTCCGACTGGAAATGTCCTTTATGCTTCGGTATTTTCACGGATAAAATGTTGTCGTCGATTTGTTGCGTTAGTTCGTCGTACGGTGGTTCCGCGTGCGGAGGCGGACACGATCGATGAAGACATTTCGGACAATCGCATCGGTTATTTGTCATGTTACCGTAGATTTCTTCTTTACCTTTTATCCGGAGGATTTCCTTCTACAATTTGGGGGCTAGTCTAACGGCTGCCATTTTGTCGAAACATTTGAAGGGACCTCGATCGAGCGCGTCTTCTAGTTTAACGACCATGTTCCCTTCGTTGGATTCCGTGAATCGAACTTTTTCATCGAACAAGTTCTTGACTCGGTTATTAGGGAAAAAGGAAAGCAAGGAGATTTTCTGCCTCGAACGCCGGAGTCGATTAGCGATTAGCATTAACGATACAAGATTACGCTCTTCGGAGTTTAGGATGTTGGCTGGGAATTAATCGCTGACGCGACGCTATTACCAGTCTCGAACGATATCGGAGAACTTTTCGTCAATGTTTATCGATGTTTTTACCGTTTACGTTGCAAACGACGGTAACCGCTGAAACACGAAATACGGTGTTGTAAATAAAATTAATTTTATTTATGGTGCGTTCGAACGTTACGAATAATTTCACGCGCAAACGTATAGAAATGCCAGACACGTTCTCGACGAAGAGGTTTAATGGATCGATATAGAGTTTTTGAACCGCGCGTAGGACAGAAATAGTTTTAATTGCAAGTAACGAATACCGACAGGACACGTATAAAGCATTTTGCGTTTATTACGGACACGACAAACGAATAAATATTAGCCAAGTGCCCGTAAACACGAATATACAAATGTTGACGCAAATAAATATTAAATAAATAGAAGAACGCTTTATCGATCCGTTCCGTCGGCAGGAAATTAGATTCTAGAATATAAATGAATCGCGGGCATTGCGTTCGCGTGCCCTTTCGCGACAAAATTTCCCGTATTCGGCTCTCGCGGCTTTCCGGAGACGCAACGTGTAAAATATTAATTAAATTAGCCTGACTGGCCGCCATCTCTGAATGACTTTTCCGTATTAAAAAGCGTATTTAATTAAAATTTACGCCGCGATGGAAGTAATTTTGCAACGGTGTGTCACTACTTTGTCGTCGACTTGAAAAGCGATATCTGTTAACGAAGTCAACTTTGTTACGCCTTCTATTTTTTCCCTCTCTCTCTCGCTCTCCCTGTCTCTCCGTCTACGTGCCTCTCTCCGTCTTCATTATCTCGCGATCAAAGTTCAGGCCACCGACTACAATCGAATTATCGGTTTTTAAATGAAATTCTTCGCCACGCTCTGCTCGGTTTTCTCGGAAACTTTTCAGGCTAACGCAATTTCTCGCGTAATTGGTGGATTAATTCGATGAATTTAACGGTCTGCTTGGAGTTCGTTTAAGTCGTTACAACGAGTGCGCGTGTAATCGTTTCAGCCCGGTCGTCTTCGCTTTATATTTCTTTTCCTTTTCCTATCAAAGCGCCTTCCCGACGCGAGGCGTCTCGCCGAAAGATGAAATTTCAAAGTTTCCTCCTGCTCGTTGTCGATAAAATCTGTCTCTCCTTCTTTTTAACGCGTGCCAAACAAATTCAGCCAGCGTCGTGTTCGTGGACGAGCAAACGACACGGTTCGCTTAATATTTTTCATTCCTTACCGCGTTGAAAACACAAGACGCGACTCGCAGATAGAAGCACAAAGAAAGCGGAAGAAGGAACGATGTAAATGAGAAAGAACCGTTATGGGGTCTTTCTTGGCGATGCAGAGACGGGACCAAAGGCGAGACGAGGGTCGACAGAGGGACAGAATCGTTGTTTTCGTCGGAAAATTTCTTCTGGACACGAGACGGCTATGCCGTGAAAGCTGGTCGGACGTCGGTGGTTTCCATTGTTTCGTATTCGCGGCCCTTTTCTTCCATGATCCATCGCGAAAACCTCGTGTCATCCCGTTGAGTGCATGGATTCATATTTTACCAGCAAATATACAAAATACAGAGATTGCTGACGTTCGACCGGCCAATATGATTTCTTTTTTTCCGCCTGCCCTTTTATCTTCGTTTCGTTGGACAAACAACGCCTACGCATTATAAACTTTTTAATTCGACCGGATTTCTCGAAACGCAGAACTTTTTTCGAGGACCTTTTATCGAGATTAACGTATTGACTCTCGTAAGGTCACCGTATTTCCCGTTTCGAAATATTTGATGGCGGTGGTTACGACCATGCACGTTCATTGCCACGCACGGATTTAATTCGTTAAGCACTTAAGAAATTAATGCACCGTGGTAATTTTGAATATGATTAAAGTTAAATAATGTAAAACAGCAGACTGTAACGGTGAATTTTTAACGCGTTGAATGCCGCGGGCCACTGCTACCGTCAGCACCGCAGTAGTAGAGGTCAACGGTATAGCTGGCCATGCGCCGAGGATAACGTTTTCGCATGTTAATATCGCGGATGAAACCGCTCTGTTTCATAACAGTTTAAGCGGAAATCCTTCGTTAGAAGTTGATTTAACGTCGTTGTTTGAAGTTCGACTGGGTGAAAGACGTTAAATCGGTTAACCGTTTGATGCGCATCGTCGAGAAAGCAGCGTTTCCACAGATTTCGCGGAAGAAACGCTTTTAATTAAAAATAACGATCGCGGAACGATTGTTAGTTTCCCGTGCCGAGAACGCGTTAAATATTTTTCCGTCGACTCGAAGCCGAAAGGTTATTCGTTTTAGTTTCGCGCTGCTCGTCCGTTTTGAACACTTGAGTTTGCCGAAACATAAGCGAGCTTTATTTAACCGAGCCGCGGATCTCCGGGGTATAATGTCATTGTACGTCGACGTAGCCATCCATTTTGACGGCTAACGAGCTGACCGTAATATCGTTGCGCGAGTTGGCGCGAGCACAAAACATTTTTAATGAGATATACGGAAAGAGAACAAAGTTGCCACTTTAATTTCGTCGGATCTCGCTAATTTCGCGCCAACTTTTTCCTGACACGAGCAATTAACGTTATTCCGACGTCCGTGGAAGAATAATTGTTTGTCCGTCGTACTTTTGTAAACTTTAGCTCGGCAGAACTTGTCTCGCCATCGATTCTCTTCGCGTATCGAATATAAGAGTTGCTCGTCTTCGACGCAGGTTGTACACTTCTTAACCTCAGAAACCCTCAAAAAGTAAATCCTCGAAAGCCAGATTTGCTCTTGTCTGTACTGGCGAGACAATTGTCACGCCTTTCAACGCGGCTCGTTAGTGCACCGGTGATCTAATCTATCGGTGTTGCTTCCGTTTAGCCGGATTGATCAAAGCCGTATCGAGCTAATTATACAGCGGTTCAATATCCAACGTGCATCGAATGACCCGTGCGCCGAAATCATCGAATAATACGTCGGTGGAACGCGATGTAATATACCGCGAACATCCTGGAATCTTCATTTTTCGCAAACATCGCATTGTCGGTCGAAACAAACACGTTTCGTCGATAATATTCCGTAACAGAGTGTTACGTTAACGTTCACTGTAAATTGCGGCAGTCAGACTTTAATTCCATTATGTCCTAATAGCCGAGATAAATAAATTAGCGGGAAGCAAATAATAACCAGTAAACGCGTTGGCGGATACGTTCGTGTACCGATTATAAATCCTGATATAGTTTAATGCCAAGGATTGTTTACGAACGATAATTATGCGGCATGATCGTGCCGTAACCGAGGCTCGTTATAATCGTATTATAGATTCGATCGCTTTAATTGCGGCGATCTTTTGTTTCGCTAATTATCTACATCGGTGCGTGTATGCTCGTGGCCGGAAATTAATGTCGTAGTTGAAAGGTTCGAGGGGAAAAAGGCGATTTGAAATATCAGATACACGGGATCACGCATACGCACTTGGGAATCGTGGCTGAATACCGAACCAATCTGTAACCTATTAACGGACCTTTCCGATGTCGGTGGTTATCGATCGAAAACCAATTAATAGGATTCCCGTTGCGAATGGTTGCTCGATCGAAATATCAATCGTAAGATTCAAATACGAAACGAGATAACGTGGATTGCTCTTTGCATTTTTTATTTATCGAGTCGCCCAACGACAACGTCTTGGTACCGTAACGGTGCTTCGTAACGAGACCGTTCGTTCCGAGTTGAAAGTTGAAAAATGCACTTGTCTCAAGATTATTACCAACGTTTGTCATTCCTCGTCGTTTATTTACGAATCGAAAGCACCGCGGGGGCTACCGCGAACAGCGGCCGCGCTTGAAATATGTTTGCCGATCAATCGAATCAATTTAATCAAGAACCTAATACATTATCGCGGTATAGCGTCGATTCCGTGGTGCGGCATCGTTTAGAGGAATTTCAGGTCATCGATCACTCGATCGCGTTCGAACACCGTTACGTCGAATGAACCGTTTCATTTCCAACCGTATACTTTGCATACGCGTTTCCGTCTAAACGCGTTTAATGCCGTTTCAACCTATCGAATGCATTCCGCCTCTGTTTGCACCGATGCCGAACGATATCGTAACAGAATTGTACGGTATCGCGATGCTCTGGGTTACGTTGCTCATGACCGATCGGGTTTATAATATTAATAGCTAACGGATGCATAATTCGTATTTGTCGGAAAATCCTTTTAGCACGTACGAATTAATAAACATGGCGCTAATGATTTTATCATAGCGAGTCTATTAAAAATATGAAAACTTTAAAGAGTCGAACATAGAACATAGTTGTATTGTCGTCGGAGAAAGGTATCGTCGATGTAGTAAAAATTCGGGACAAAAAGGGTGAATATCTGCGCCACGATCACCGTCGAATAAAAAGCTCCACTATTCGAACGTACTCGACTCCGCGTTCTTTAAATTTTAAACGTATTGTTCTTATAACTATAGAAGGCTTTACAATGCCCATTTCGCGATTTATTCGTCGAGATATTTTACTCCGAGTGAATAGCTTAGAAGGGAGAAAGAGATAATACAATGAGCAGTACACATGCGCGATACAGAATATAAACTGTAGACGGATATTTTAATTTCCGGTTGGTCGGTGTCTCGGAAAAGCGAGTCCGCGATAACATTATCGGCGGGTCGCGTTTCTGTCTGGTCAAAGTTTTCATGAATTTACAAGTTTACA